TCTGTATCGTTTAATCGATTCCCATCCCCACTGGGGGGTAAATCGGCTAGTGGAACCATGGCCACGCCAGTGCGGATAGGGATCGCTTCAACGATGCGCAGTTCCTTGTCGTTGCCGTCACCATTCTTTCCTCTCCTCCGCCTTCCCCTGCTCCTCCTGCTCGTCCTGCTCCTCCTGCTCTTTCTGCCGCCCTTCTGCCTTTCTCATCATCTTACCATTTGCTCATCTTCTTCTTTCACACCATCATAATCATCAGCATCATCAGCATCATCAGCATCATCATCATCATCATCATCATCATCATCATCATCATCATCATGCCTTCCTCTTACTCCTCCTCTTCCTCCTTCCTCTCCACCTCCTCAACCGCTCCTGCTCATTCTCCTGCTCATCCGCCACCTCTCTCTCCTCGTCAGCTGCATAACGCCTCCCCTCCCTGTAGAATTTGCATCACACGATGAGGCCATCTGGGGCATCGGGGTCATCCGAGACACTCTGGCTAACGGAAAAGGAGATAAGTCGGCGCACTGGGAAGTTGTGGGATGGGTAGCACATGGCTTGATATTCTGTCAGTTCATTTTCCCCCCTGACGATGTCCAGCGGTGCCACCGCCACTTTTGCATATGATTCTTTCACACTCGATTCAGGAAATTTACACGTTTGTGTGTTCAATCGGTGCGTCTTCGGCCCCTTCAACATGTTTCTTTCGCTGCAGCGCTGGCCACATTATAGGACTGATGCTGTGATCCCATCATTTATGATGGCGCTCTCGCCGAAGCGCGGGCAGCATTTCTGGATCCGATTCCCTCCTCATCGTTGCCGTCCCCCTCCTTCCCCCTCCGTCGTCCCCTGATCCTCGTGCGCCTCCTTCTCCTCCTGCTCCTCCTCCACCTCCGTCCGCCCCTCCTCCCTCCCCGTCCGATCTGCAGAGGCCCCTCCCGAGTGCAGAGCGAACGATTGGCCAAATCCTGCAGCTGCTGCTGAGAGGTCAGGGTCCTCCAGACACCCCAGTCGGCGGCTTGACAAGGATTCGACGCACCTGGAAGGGGATGGGCGGTAGGGGCAGGATGTCGGATCCCAGCATGTGGTGACGTGAACCCTTGTCGGCCCCTTCAGTGCGCTGCCGCTGCGCTGGGGCTGCAACGGCTTGTCGATGGGTGCGGTCATCGCCCCCGTGAGTGGCAGCGGATCGTTCGGTGTCCGCTTCCATCTTCAGGATGTCGGATGTCGCGCTGGCGCGCCTGGCCTGTTCCTCCCCTCCTCTCCCATCCCTTCTTCTCTCGCCAGGGCCAGCCTCTTCGGAGGAGGGCCATCCAGTATTCCACATTCCCTCCCCTCCCCTCTCCTCTCCTCCTCCTCCTCCTCCTCCTCCTCCTCCTCCTCCTCCTTCTCCTCTCCTCCTCCTCTCCCTCCTCCTCCTCCTCCCTCCTCCTCCTCCTCCTCCTCCTCCTCCTCCTCCTCCTCCTCCTCCCCCTCCCCCTCCCCCCCTCCCTCTCCTCCTCCCTGCCCCCTCCCCCCCCCCCCCCCCCCCTCCCTCTCCTCCTCCCTGCCCCCTCCCTCCCCCCTCCTCCCTCCCCACCCGCAGTCCAGTGCAGGACGCTGCCGCGTCGCACACTCCCAGCCGGAGCTCCGGCGGACGCCCGAGCCTCTGCCGCGCGCACCCGCCGAGCGGCAGGCGCAGCGGGTGCCGCGTCGGGCCGCTGGCGCGCGGGCAGCAGAGGGGGGGGGGGCGCCGTGGCAGCGGGCTCCGGCAGCCCCTGCGGGAGCGTGGCCCAGGGGCAGCGACTCGCCGTGGGGGCAGCGGCTCGCCATCTATTCGTTACCGGGCGAAGAACGGTATAAGATAAACTTTTTCGCTGTCGGGGGCGCCTGTCCCAGGGCGGCTGGAAAGTTTATACCCTTACGGTGGCACCGTAGGGGTACAAACTTTCCAGCCGCCCTGGGGCAGGTGTCCCTGACGACGAACAAGTTTATCTTATACCGTTCTTCGCCCGTTAAATTCGGATCCCATCCCCTGGAATCGAAAAAGAAACAGCTGCATAAACAGAAACTTTTGGCGCTCCGCGCGGATTTCTTTGGCCCGCGCCTGGGCCCCCCGGCGGCGCCTCCGGCGCCGCCCCTGGCGCGCTCCGCGCGACAGGGAGGGGGGTCCACCGCGAGTCCAAGAAATCCGCGAGGAGCGCCCAAAAGTTTATGTTCATGTATCAGTATCGTTTATCCGACCCCCATCCCCATCCTCATCCCCTTCGAGACCCCCACCAAATTACCACCCCAGATGGGGATACACCCCTCAAAACCTGAAGGGGACGGCCTATATCCCCATCTGGGGGGGTAGATCGGCCAGTGGAGCCCAGGCCACGCCGCTGGGGATGGGGATTGGATAAACGATGCTCAGTGTAGCTTTTTCTTCTCCGGTGGAAGGCGTCTGGAGCTGGCCCCTGCCCCCGCGGTGCCTCCTCCTTGCCCTGGCCGGCCACGGCGCGGCCAGCCTCTCTTTCTCCCAGGAGGAGGAAAAACACACAGACACGATTCATCGTCGACCCCCAGGAAAATACGGCAAGCCATGGGACTCGGGCGGGAAGACGATAGCCCGGAAAGTATGGGAAACGATGAGGGGGATCCTGTTATTTGTGTGTATCTATTTGGTGTGTCCTGGGGCCCCTCGATCCTCTCCCGCGGGGCGGCTCTCCCTCCAGGCCGCGCTCGGCCCCTCTGGCCCTCGGAGGAGGAGGAGGAGGAGGAGGAGGAGGAGGAGGAGGATGAGGAGGGAGGAGGGAGGAGGGAGGAGGGAGGAGGGAGGAGGGAGGGAGGAGAGGCGGGAGGAGGGAGGAGGAGGGATGAGAGGTCGGCCCCACTGGGCCTTCTCTGCTTCGCCCCGCCCCTCCTCGCGGAGAGGCGGCCCGCTCTCCGGCTCTCGCTGGCTCGCTTCGCTCGCTTCGCTTCTCCTCCTCCCTCCTCCTCCTCCTCCTCCTCCTCCTCCTCCCCTCCTCCTCTTCTCCTCCTCCTCCTCCTCCTCCTCTTGTTCCTCCTCCTCCTCCTCCTCCTCCTCCTCCTCCTCCTCCTCCTCCTCTTAAGTCTCCCTCCATCGTCGCGAGACTTTCCTCGGGAGGGGGCCCGCCGTGCCTGCCGCTGGACGAAAGGGGGGTTACGAAATTTGCTGCATGCAGCTGGTTTCGGCCCCACCGAGGGGCCCACTCCTCGATACATGGCCGCCTCCGGCGCCGGGAGGCGCCGGGAGAATCAGCTGCGTGAGCGGATTTTCTCCCCCGCCCCCCTTTGCCATCCCCCCCTTTCGCCCGACCCGATTCTCTTGCTGTGTCCCTGCTCGCAGCGACTCGCCGTGGGGGGGAAGCGGGCTTCGAGGGCAGCGGGTCCCGAGGTGTTTCGCCGCTTCCGGGCTCCCGGGGGGCCCTCCGCGGGCTCCCTCGGGGTCCAGCGGCAAGCGGCTCGGGATGAGGATCTCGACCGTGGGGGAGGCCCGCCTCCCTCAGGACCCGTGGTCCCCCGTGCTAAGAGGGGGGGGGGGCAAGCCTACCTGCTTGTAGAAGGCGAACATCAGGGGCCAGTGCCGAATACCGTTCCCACGTTCTAGCCCAAAGCGTCCATGGAACACTGGGTGCCGTGATATCTGCAGACGCGTTGGGGGTAGATGCGTCTATGGGCAACTCGGCCGCTGCGCTCGGCGCAGTACAGGGTCGGAGAAAGGGTAGATCCGTCTAAGGTATCTTTTTTTGTTCTAGAGCAGGTCCCACATGGTCCGTAGATGCGCTAACGGCGATGCAGGCAGCGGCGATGCAGGTTTCGGTACTGTTGGAACGCGCGGCTCGTGCTCTCCTGCAATTCGCCGTGCCGTCTTCGCTCGATACCTCCGCAGATCGGAAGTGCAGGAAGGTGTGGCTCGTGATTGCCTGCAGCTCGGCTTCCAACCCGGAGCACCTGGAGCACCAGGCGTGCCCCAAGTGCTCGGGGCGGGCGGGCGCGTCCGACCCCGCATCGTGCATTCCTCGCCAGTCGGGGCCTGGGCGATCCCCTCCGCCCGGGAGCGCTCGGCCTCGCCGGGCACCCCTCACGAGGCCCAGAGGGCCCCAGGGGCTCCAACATGGAGCGAAAAGCCGGGGGCACCTTTTGGGCCGGGGGCACTCCTGGCAACACCCGATGCTACCCCTCCACGGGCCAGTTTTCTCGATCGTCCCCCGCTTGGTGGTGGGAGGGCGGATGGGGGGGTAGAGGTGGAGGGAGGCAGCGGTGAGGCGAGAGGGTGATGGCGGGGGTCTTGGGAGGAGGGGGGAGGCTGAGGGAGGTGGGGAGGGGGGGGGACCTTGCCTTGGGAGCGAGGGGGAGGGGGGAGGGAAGTACAGTCAGGAGCGAAAGAAGGACGAACTCGTACATGAACCCACGTTGATTTCGAGAGTGCGCATTACGCGAGCGTTCGTAACACGCGGCTGGGGGTCCGTGTTCATGTACGTAGTTGGGCGCGTACGTCCTGTGTGCTCCCTATATGGGAGGGGCGGAAGAGTGGTGCGGAGGGGCTTGCTGGGTGGTAAGGGGCGATGAGGCGTGACGGGCACCGTCGGTGTGGGTGAGGCGCGAGTGGGGACTCGCGACGAGAGATCTCCGCGAAGGTCATCAAGGACACGCTCATCAACCTCGGCAAGGCGGTGAAGGGGCTTGTGGTCTCGGGGAACGGGAAAGTACCCACCACCACCACCACACCTCCACGGGGACAGCTTGGACCTGAAACCTGGTGGGCATGGGCCATGGGGCAGGGGTGGTGGGGGGCATGCCCGCCAAGATCTGGGCCGGCAAGGGGCTAGTGGATGCCTCGTGGCGGCGAACACCATCATTTCAGTCATACAGTGGGGACACGCATCAGGAAGACGCGTGTTAATCAGTCTCGAACTTATCCCTCTCCCTCAGATGGACAAGCTAAGATACGATGACTATCTTGGGGATGCGCCCTCGAAAACTTAGGGAATCCTTACGATCGGCATCGAGATGAGGCGATGCCAATCATCGGCGTCACCCCAACATACTAAACTATGTGTGTGTGTGTCACCACCCGCGGGCCAAGCGAGCGCCGAGAACATTTATAGTATAAGCTCAGTGGCGGGCGCTTTCTGGCCATAGCGCTCGGGAAGCGGTATACTACAAGATGGGTATACTATATGTTCGGGTCGGACGCGCGCCTCCAATGAGGATAGACCTAGTATGTCTCTGTGCGTCCCCGAATCACAGGATGTCTCAGGCGAAACGGGATACAGGAATGGGAACATCGATATCTCCAGGGAAAATATGATCCTCCCCGCTTGGACCCCGAACTTGCATAGCCCCAGGGAAGATGATTCTCACCAGCCAGCGGCTAGGGATAGGGATGTGCTCCAGTCTGGTAACGTGTGTGTGTGTGTGTGTGTGTGTGTGTGTGTGTGTGTGTGTCCTGCCAGGGCTTCTTGGGTTTCTCGGTGTTCACCGCGCTTGCGCCGAGAGCGCGAGGACCCCCGCCGCCCGAGCCCCTCGAGCTCCCGCGGCTTCGGGGCCCCAGCCTCGCGTGGAGGTCCCGTGGCCGAGATCCCACCGGCACGAGACGCAGGGCACCGCTCGGAGGCGTGTGCAACTTTTACCCGGCGAGGGCCGAGGATCCTCTTGGGCCAGCGCGCGAGAAGTGCGCGCACGGAGCCGAGCACGGCACGGGGGAGGGGCGGCCGAGCGGTGGCGGCAGAGGGGGTCGGTCTCTCAACTGACTTGTGGGGGCTCGGGGGGGGGGGTTAGGGGGGGTTGGCTCGGGGGGGGGGGGTTGGCCCGGGGAAGGGGCTCGGGGGCCCTCCCCCGAGGGCGGGGGGTCTGAAGCGGCTCGCCTGGAGTGCTGGGCCCATTTGCCACCACCGCCACCATAAGCTGAAGGTGGGAAGGAGGTGGGGGATGATGAGGAGGACGACGAGGAGGAGGAGAACGAGGAGGAGGAGGAGGAGGAGTAGCACTGACCAAGCTGCCAGGACAGCGAGCGGGCCGCCTTTGGACAGTCCGTGAGCCAACTAGGGATTGTCAAGTGGGTGCACCCGTTACCTGGGGAAAGCCCAACTCGTTGCCTGTTGTTGTCGGTTGCTAACGAGGGCGAAACCTGGCTAGCAACCCACGATGCAACACACTGGATGGGATAAGAGTCTGAACTTTGTTGCAGGGAGACGCTGCTAGTCTACGCAATGCGATGCAACGCGGAAACTAGGCAACGCAAAGTGCTGAAGCAGGCTCCAAAAGGCTCCCAAACTTTCTGCACTTAGGCAGCGTCAAGTGCAGCAAGTGCGTCTGCGTGTGAAGAAGGCACCAACAGGCCCCACATCTTGCTGCACTGAGGCAGCGCTACTAAGTGCAGCAAGTGCGTCTGCGTACCGAGTGGCACCTGGGAGCGCTATACAACACACTGGATGGGAACAACGTAATTTTGGCACTGCTGGGACCTCACGGATACTGCCGCATGTTGCCGAAGCTGTTCTCCCATTTGGTGGGATTGTTCGCCTACTACGCGCTCTGTGGTGGAGCCCGCGCCTGCGAACCTCCTCGCCTGCGGGCGCGAAGATGCAACCTCGACTGAAGACGAGCCGGGCGAGGTCCCCACCCAGAGACGAACAGGACAAATTGAGTGGCGGTGCGCGCAGCGACCTAGCCTAAACAAGTGTGGCGCTGCGGATGCCAAGAATCCAGCCGCAATGTTGAGTCGGGCTGGCCGAAACAGCGGGCCGCGAGCTAGTTGGGTATGCCATGCATAGCCTTAGCCCACAGTCCTAACATAATTCCCGGGATATCGCCTCACAGCGCGCGGTCTGTACTCCCGGAGCTCCAGCCCTGTTTGTTGAGTCGGTCTGGCCGAAGCAACGGGCCGCAGCCTAATTAGTTGGGTATTCAGTGCATAGCCTTAGCCCACAACCCTGGCAGAGTTCCAGCGATGACGGCCGTAGCTAAAAAACGTGCGGCTCTGCGGGTGCCAGTAATCTGCCGTGATTGTTGAGCCAGGCTGGCCGAAACAACGGTCCGCGAGCTAGTTGGGTATTCTGTGTATAGCCTTAGCCCGTAGTCATGGCAGAATTCCCAAGAGCCTAGAGAGGGGGAGTGAGGCGGCACTGGGGCGGGCCAACTGGGGGCGTAGAGCGGCCAAGCATGGATGGGGGGAGGAGGAGGAGGGAGGACGAGGAACCACTTCTGCCCAGCAGTGATGGGGGAGGAGGAGGAGAAGGAGGAGGGAGGTCGAAGAGCCAGTCCTGCGGTGCCTAATAATGCTTGGCCCTCCGCCCCCCGCTGAATGACCTTGGTCTTGGCTAGTGCCAGTCGTGCAGCAGTCCTGGCTAACGCCATTCGTGCGCACGCCTGCCGAATTAGGCCTTTGTCGCTCCGACCCCCACTCTCTGGCCCTCGTGGACAGGATGCCCGTCGGGTCCAGGATGGGCCCTGAAGGCCGCCCCGTGCGTCCCCGTACCAGGGAGTTGGAATAGGAAAGCCAGAGGAGTTGCCAATGGACCACGCGTGAGGAATTGGCTGCCCCGTTTAGGGGTAGCACGCGCAGAAGACGAATTGGCTGCCAGGGTTAGGGGTAGCACGCGGGGAGGGCTGCCAATGCATGCCAACGCATGCAAGCGCATGCCAGTGCATGCCAATGCATGCCAATTAATGCCAACGCATGTCAATGCATGCCAACGCATGCCAACTCATGCCAGCGCATGCCAGTGCATGCCACTGCATGCCGACGCATGCCAGCGCATGCCAACACATGTCAACGCATGCCAATGCATGCCAGTGCATGCCAGCGCAACCAACGCATACAAATGCATGCCAATGCATGCCGACGCCTGCCAATGCATGCCACGAATACCAACACAAGACAAATCATGCCATCGCATACCAACGCATGCCAATGCATGCCAACGATGCCAACGCATGCCAATGCATGTCAATGCATGTCAATGCATGCCAATGCATGCCGATGCATGCCAACGCATGCCACCACATGCCAACACATGCCGGTGCATGCCAATGCATGCCAATGTATGCCAACGCATGCCAGTGCATGCCAGTGCATGTCAATGCATGCCACTGCATACCAATGCATGCCAACGCATGCCAACGCATGCCAATGCATGCCAACGGATGCTGCTGCATGCCAATGCATACCAACGCATGCCAGTGCATGCCAATGCATGCCAATGCATGTCAACGCGTGCCAACGCACGCCAATGCATGCCAATGCATGCCAACCCATGTCAACGCATGCCAGTGCATGCCAACACATGTCAGTGCATGCCAACGCATACCAAGGCATGCCAAGGCGTGCCAGATGCACTCCAATGCATGCCAACGCACGCCAATGCATGCCAACGCATGCCAACGCATACCGACGCATGCCAATGCATGCCAATGCATGCCAGCGCATGCCAATGGATGCCAATGCTTGCCAACGGATGCCAATGCATGCGAACGCATGCCAATGCATGCCGATGCATGCCAACGCATGCCAACTCATGCCAGCGCGTGCCAGAGTTAGGATAGCACATGCGGAGAAAAGAGTTGACTGCCCGGGTCAGGGTTAGCACACGGGGGGGGGGCTGCCCCGCTAGGGGTAACCCCGCCCCCTAAGCCCTGAAGCCCGCAGGGATATAGGTGTGGCACCAAGGTACCAAAAAGAGCCTGACCGGGGAAGCTGTTCTGGCGATTGGGCATTTGCGTGACTCTACAAATTTTTGGAGTCACGCAAATTTCAGGACCTTCGCCCGAAGCCCTCGCAGAATTCCCAATATCTTGCCTACCTAGTGCGGCGTGCTACCAGACCTCCAGCCGTATTTGTTGAGTCGGGCCAGCCGAAGCGACGGACCGCAGGCTAGATGGGTATGCGAAGCATAGCCGTATCCCACAGTCCTGGCAGATTTCCAGTGCGGACGGCGCTGGTCTTTCCTACCTGGTGTTGCTTGCTACCAGAACTCCAACTGGTTTGTTAAGTCGGGCCAGCCGAAACAACGGACTTCAGGCTAGATGGGTATGCGTAGCATAGCCGCAGCCCGCAGTTTTGGCAGAGTTCCAGTTTGGACGGTTAGCCTTTCCTGCCTAGTGCGACTTGCTACTAGAACTCCAGCCGTGTTTGTTGAGTCGGGCCAGCCGAAATATCGGACCGCAGGCTAGATGGGCATGCGAAGCATAACCGTAGCCCAGTCTTGGCAGAGTTCCAGTGCGAACGGCGCCAGCCTATACAGCCGCAGCGCAATTGATGCAAAGACGCCTGTCGTGATATGACTGGGCGCCTCTGTCCCTTACAACAAGGTACAACGCGCGAGCTGATAATAGACAACCTTACTCTACCCCTCTGGCGTGGCTGGGGAATGTCTGTCGCCCCAGCGCCCGTACGGAGGCCAATCCTTCTGTGGCGCCATTTGGCGTGGCTCGGGGATGGAATTCGCCCCGGCCCACGTCCGGACCCAATATGACAACCCCTTTGGCGTGGCTGGGGAATGGAATTCGCCCCAGCCCATGCAGGAAATCAACCCTACTCTAACGCCCTCTGGCATGGCTGGGGGATGGGCTTCGCCCCGGTCCACGCTTGGACACAACCCTCCCCTATTCCTTTGGCGTGGCTGTGGAATGGCATTCGCCCCAGCCCTGGCTCGGGCTCCAATCAAACTGTGCCCCATCTGACATTGTTGGCCACCTACTCCAAGAGCCTTGCCCCTCAGCTCGGGGACACGCTGGTGGCAATGCTTACCATGTAAGATGGGGAAGAGAAGGAGGAGGATCGGGCCAGAATTGGGGTGGGGGGGGGCGGAGCGGGCGAGAGAAGTGAAAGGGATGGGGTTTGGGCGGAGGAGCGGCCAAGCAAGGACGGGGGGAGGATGAGGAGTGAGGACGAGGAACCAGCCCTGTACATGCGGCTCGCTTCCAGAACTCCAGCTGTGTTTGTTGAGTCGGGCCAGCCGAAACAACGGACCGCAGGCTAGATGGGTATGCGAAGCATAGCCGTAGCCCACAGTCCTGGCCCAGTGCCAGTGCGGATGGCGCGAGACCCTAGCAGAATGCCAGAGATTTTGCCTACCAGCGTGCGGCGTGCTACCAAACTCCAGCCGTGTTTGTTGAGTCCGGCCAGCCGCAATAACGGACCGCAGGCTAGATGGGCACGCGAATCGTAGCCGTAGCCCGCAGTCCTGTCAGAGTTCCAGTGCGAACGGCGCCAACCTATCCAGACGCAGTGCGACTAATGCAAAAACGCCAGCGGGGTTGTTGACTCGGGCTGGCCGAAACACGGCCATTGCGCTAGTTGGCCATGCGAAGTAGAGCCTTAGCGGACGGACGAAATCATGAGCAACTGGTACGGCCAGAAGCTGACAGGCCTGCTGGCTACCTACTCCAGCGGCTTACCCCTCCACTCGGGGACCGCAATGGAAACCATGCTTACCAAATAAGATGGGACAGAGAGGAGGTGGAACGGGCGGGACAGAGGGGCGGGCGAGAGAAGTGGGAGGGAAAAAGGGATACGGGGGCTGCGTGGGTTAGGGACAGCACGTGAAAGGAACGACGGGTGGAACATGCCACACGATCTGTGCATGGAGAGGGGAGCACTTGCAACGGGCCTGGGGAAGCCCAGCTACCTACTGGCTTGTGTCGCCCCGGTGGCGAAACCCCATTGAGCTCAAGGGAGGCACTCGTCGGAGACTCCTTCTCCCCGAATGTTCAGCCTGGGGCCGTGCGCACCTTTGGCACAGGAGGAGGAGGAGGAGGAGGAGGAGGAGGAGGAGGAGGAGGAGGAGGAGGAGGAGGAGGAGGAGGAGGAGGAGGAGGAGTGAGGAGGAGGAGGAGGAGAGGAGGAGGAGGAGGAGGAGGAGGAGGAGGAGGAGGAGGAGGAGGAGGAGGAGGAGGAGGAGGAGGCGGAGGAGGGAGGAGGAGGAGGAGGAGGGAGGAGGAGGAGGAGGAGGAGGAGCAGGAGGAGCAGGAGGAGGAGGAGGAGGAGGAGGAGGAGGAGGCAGGAGGAGGAGGAGGAGGAGGAGAAGGAGGAGGAGAAGGAGGAGGAGGAGGAGGAGGAGGAGGAGGAGGAGGTCCCCCTTCCCCTCCTACTTATGCTGGCGGCGGTGGGAAAAAAATCCACCATGGGAGGGTTGTGACCCCCCCGCCCCGCCCCATGCCGTCTCTTCTGAGCCGCGGCCCGTTTCGCCCGAGATCCGTGGGGAGGGGCCCCCCCGCCGAGGCGGTGAGCTCCGCTCGCTGCCACCCCGCGGCGCCGGCCGTCTGACAACTGCGAGGGCCGCTGCGTCTGCGGAGCCTGGCGCAGAAGAGTGTGAAGACAAATAAATGCCATAAGCATAAACCTTCGGCGCTCCGCGCGGATTTCTTGGATACGCGGTGGGCACCCCCCTCCCTGGCGCGCTCCGTCCAAGAACTCCGCTCGGAACGGCAAAAGTTTCTGCTTATGGCGTCTTTTGTACTTCTAGAGGTAGCAGACCGTGGGGTGACCTCGGTATCCCCGAAGACCTCACCGGCCTGTGACGGCACTGTCTTGGGGTCCCCGGAGGCCCCAGTCGCCCGAGAGGCGGCCCCGGAGAACGGCCCAGGTGCCCCAACGTGTGAGCTCACGCCGAATCCTCATTGTCGGCGACTTCAAAGGGTGTGGCTGGGCTGAAGTCGGGCCTGTCCCTCTACAGGAGGAAAATTCAAAAATAGTCAAAACATAGTCTGGGGACTAGTTTGATATTTTGTTTTGGCTATCGGGGGGTATTTCTTGAGTATTTTGCATTTTTCGCCCAATATCCGCCTGTAGGGGGCCATGCCCGACCTGAGGCTAGGCTGTGGTACCATTTGCTATCGGTCAGGGATCCCAGGGAAACCTTGGCATCCTGAAAGCCAGAAACGGTTAATGCATGCCGCAGAATCCAGAAGGAGCCCTGGATATTTGTGGATGCCGAGAAATCCTCAAGAACTATGGGGTCCTCAGGGGTCCTTGCAAATCTATAACAGAAATCCTGAGGAACCCTGGTGAACCCATCCTCGCCGTGCCCCCTCGGGACGTAGCGGAGAGCTCTGTCGAGGCCCTCGCCCGCTCCCCAGGATGCCACCCCAGGGTGCCGGCTGCAGACCACACCCCTTGCAAACCATACCCCTCGGAGTCGCCGACACCGACTCGCCCGGGACTTTGGTTGCTGCACCCCCTCTTGGGCTCTCTGCGTGCCTTTCGTCTCTACAGGTCTTCTCCCCGGACCTGGAGGCCTGCGGCGAGGGCTGCCTCACCAACAAGGCGCCCCCGCGGGCCGCCAGCCTGGGCACGGCCACACCAGAGCTTCCTTTGGGGGGACCGCGCGCCACCGCGGGCGCCTGCTTTGTGATCGAGGGAGGTCAGGAGGGGAAAAAACGCACAGGCACAATGAATCGTCGACCCCCAGGAAAAAGATTGGAAAATATAGGAAGTGGGGGGGAAGACGAAAAGCCAGAAAATATTGGAAAACATGGGGAATCCTGGGGTTTGTGTCTATTTATTTGTGTGTCCCAGGGCCCCTTCAGGAGGGGTGGACCTGCAGCAGGCTCGCACCGTGCCGACAGGGCGGCGACCCCCCAGCGTTGGCGTTCCGGGTTCGACGCCGCCGCTGGCTCCGAGTAGGCAGCCATCGAGCGATGCTGCCCTGTCTCGAGAGCCGCGGTCGCTCAAGGTTGAACGTAGGGCGGCGGGATCTGCCTGGGGCAGTGGATGTGCACAGATCTCATAGCTGTGGTCTCCTGACAGCAACAAAAGGGGCTCGTTTACCAATTCTTGTAGAACATGAAAGGCGGTGCAACACACACAGCACACAACACACACAACACACAACACACTACACACAACACACATGCACACGCGAACACGCGCACGCGCGCACACACGCCCACACGCACACACGTACGCACGCACACACGCACACACGCATACACGCACACACGCACACACGCACAGGCGCACATACGCACACACGCACACACGCACACACGCACACAAGCACACACGCACACGCACACGCGCACACGCGCACACGCGCACACGCACAGGCGCACACACGCACGCACGCACACGCACGCCCACGCGCGCCCACGCACGCACACACACGCGCACACGTACACACACACGCACACACACGCACCCACACGCACACACAAACACACACACACACGCACACACGCACACACACACGCACACACACGCACACACACACGCACACACACGCACACGCACAAATACACGCGGACACACGCACACACGCACACACGCGCACACGCACACAGGCAAACATGCACACGCACACACTCACACGCGCGCACACGCACGCGCACACACGCACACACGCGCACACGCACACGCACACGCACACGCACACACGCACATACACACTCACACACCCACCATCCACCCACCGCACACGCACCACACCCACCACGCACCCACCACACACCCACCACACACCCACCAAACACCCACCACACACCCACCCACACACACACACCCACCACACACCAGCCCACACACACACGCACGCACACACACACGCACACACACACACGCACACACACACACACGCACGCACGCCCGCACGCACGCACGCGCCGCACGCACGCACGCACGCGCTCACGCACGCACGCACGCACGCACGCACGCACGCACACACACACACACACGCACGCACGCACACACGCACCCGCGCGCGCACACGCACGCACGCACGCACGCACGCACACGCACACGCACGCCCACGCACGCCCACGCACGCCCACGCGCGCCCACGCACGCCCGCGCACACACACGCACGCACACGAACACACACGCACGCACACGTACACACACACACACGCACACACACACGCACACCCACGCACACACACACACGCACACACACACACGCACACGCACACAAGGCACACACCCACACACACCCACACATACACGCACACACACACGCACACACACGCACACACGCACACACGCAGCACACACAACACACACAACACACAACACACAACACACAACACACACAACACACAACACACACCACACAGCACACACAACACACAGCACACAACACACACAATACACACACGCAACGCACATCACACACAACATACACCACACAATAAACACATGACACACATAACACACATAACACACAACACACAACACACAACACACAGCACACACAATACACAACACACAACAAACACAACACACGCAACACACAACACACACACGCACACACACACACACGCACACACACGCACACACACACACGCACACACACGCGCACACACACACGCACGCACGCACGCACTCACATACACACACACGCACACACAACACACACACGCACACACACACGCGCACACACAAACATACGCACTCACGCACGCACGCACGCACGCACGCACGCACGCACACACACGCGCACGCACGGAACACACACAAGCACGCACGCGCACACACGCACGCACGCACGCACACGCGCGCACACACACACACACGCACGCACGCACACACGCACACACACAAACACACACGCACGCACACACAGACACACACAGACACACACACACAGAAACACACAGAAACACACACACAACACACACACGCGCAATAAGCCGCTCAACACACAGTGAGACAACAATGTAGAGTTACATTTGTCCCAGTGAAGCAGAGCAGAGTCTGCGCCGACGAAATAGAGCGACCAAAAGTGCCCCCCCGAGACGCCCAAGCGGGCATGGCTTCTTGCTGCGAACTTAGCTCTTGTGTTCTCGTGTGTTTGTGTTTCGCTTTCTGCTCGTGGATTCTGCTCCAGGGGACCCCCGTCGTGATGGACCCCGCAGCCCCGGAACGGCCGCACCTGCGCGCAGGCCGTCATGCCGCTGGCCTGCCGTGCCCCCCCCCCTCCGCCACCCGCCGGCGGGGGTCGACGTCGCCAGGGCGGCGCGCCGCGCCCAGGACTGGGGGAGGAGGAGGAGGAGGAGGAGGAGGAGGAGGAGGAGGAG